AGGCTTTTTTAAGACAATCTTTTTTAAAGTCCAGTAATTCTACTGATGTGCCTGTGTGGAATATTCTGGGACAGGTTTTATCTGCTAAAAGTTTTCCCCTTCAGTTTGAAATTTTAAGTGATTTTGTTTACTTCAAGTATTTAGTTATAGTCTTAAGTAGTATTGTCTCATTGTTTTAGTTTCTTTCTAGGACTCCAATTATACATTTTTTGGTTCACTTTTGTGTGATTTATATCTATCATTTTCTCGTATTATCATTTTAAATTCTACTTGACTTTATTCACTTGCCTTTTTGCATTTCTGTCTTCCCTTTATGTGCTTCTGGCCTCTAATAATCAGTATATTTTCCAGTTTATTGGATGCCAATAAACTTCACAATTAAAGGACATAATCAGTATGCAGATGATTCCAAATTATTTATCTCCAGCCTTAACTGCCCTCAATCTCCTAACTTGTATATCTATTTGCCTGCTTGATTTCTTTACTTGATATATAATTGACCTCTCACACTTCATCAAATCCTAGAATTTTCTCCAGAAAACTCTTCCCTTGCAGTCTCTCTTAGGTCAATGCATGAGGTCAGATCCATGCAATTGCTCAAGTCAACAATGTTTTCTTTTTCTCCATCCCTCACATCCAGTCTATCAGCGTGTCCTGTTGGCATAGACAGCCAATGGGAATTTGCTGTGTGGCTTAGGAAACTCAAACAGGGGCTCTTTATCAACCTAGAGGGGTGGGATGGAAGGGAGATATGAGAGAGGTTCAAAAGGGAGGGGATATATATATATATACCTGATTCATGTTGACATTTTTACAGAAAACAACAAAATCTGTAAAGCCATTATCCTTCAATTAAAAAATAAATTAATTAAAAAATAATGTATCCACAAAGAGTCTACCTCCTTCATCTCCACTATTAGATAGAGCCATTATCATCACTCTTCTGGGTAACCCCAATGACTTCGAGATTTGCAGTTTCATGCTCTTTTACTCCTAGAACATATCCAGAGTGGTCTTCTTAAAATATGAAGTAGACCATGTCACAACCCTACTTAAACCTGTGGTTTGGCATCCCATTGCTCTTGGAAAACATCAAATTTCTTCCCATGGAGCCTGCAAGGCCCTTAATAATTCAGAAATTTCCCTCTTATCTCTTGGACTCCAAATCTATTTGTCTTCCTCCAAGTTTATTCTTACCTTAAAGCCTTTGTACTTCTTACACCCTCTGACTGAAATTCTCTACCCAAAGACTGTCCTAACGCTGGTTATTTTATGCCATTCATGCTTCAACCAAGATCGTCATATCCTCAGTGAGGCTTTCTCTGACCATCCAATGAAATTTATGACTCCCGCCCCCAAGTTATCCCTTCATAGAACCCTGTTTCATTGTTTTCATGGTGCTTAGCACTGTTTACCACAAAAATTATTAACAGAACTAATGCATGAATCTCCAGTATCCTCAGCCTTGGGTCCCAAAAGGGCCAAGCTGGCTGGGTGGAGTGACGATTACTCTGCAGATGGGTCTGCATTGCGATCTGTGCTCCGACAGAAGGAAATAAAGCAAAAAAAAAAAAAAAAGGCAGATTAAGAGAGCATCAAGGTGGCCAAACAGCTTGATTTACTCTCACATCTCAGAAACTTTCATTAAGATTTACATCATGATGCTGACCTAAGTGGCAAAGCAATTTTTTCATAGCTGAACAAAAAAGCTAATACTCTCCAGTTGGGTCAGGTAACCTTTTTCTTGCTCACAGCAAGTAATGGAGTTTGCCTCATATGAGTGAGACTGACCAGTGGACATGTATCGCTGCATTCCTGCAAAGCAGGTTCCCCATGTGATAAATCTGCACTCTGCTTAGGAAGATTTTTTTTAAAGCCCTTTCTCATTTTATTCATTTTTCTTAGTGAGCCTAAGAAAGGCTATAGGCATACTTTAAAAAAAAAAAAAATGCATAGGCTGACATTAAAATGCCCAGCGTGATTTTCAAAAGCACCTGAAATAAAAATGACCTTGTACCTTTAGGAACCAAGTTCCTAAAATAAAAGTAAAAAGCAAAACACACACTCAGTATTAAAGAGATTAAAGTGGTGTTAGAAATTAGATAGAAAGAATGTTGTTTTATACAATTGATTTCAGAAAAAAACTGGTTTTTATAAGTGAGAACAATCACAGGAAAAACAACAAAAAGAAAAGTGACTGTCTTAGAAACATATTAACAATCCCAGATCAAGAAAACAGTAATCATAGGGTAAATTAATGAACTACACTAATGCTATTGAAAGAGGTTGGGGCTGCAACCTTCTCAGCCAGAGAGAGATGACAGGCTTAGTTCCTCTGCTCTGACCCTGGCCATGTCAAGGAGTTTCCTTTTCCCAACTGCGATCAACCGGTTCTCTCTATCTACTGCTAACACTTAGGGAATCTCCATGTGAATGTGAGGGAAAAAGTATTCTTTCCTCAGTAAAGAAGGTTTAGAGGAGTATACTATTTAGCTTGCAATGTTGACAGCAAACATATTTCATACAAATTACACAAATCAAATAATTAAATCTAAGGTAAAATAAAATTAAAAATTAAGAGCCATGTCATTAAGAGATAATTTGTTGTAAAATAGTCATTTCTCTTGCTTTCATGGTAGCGATATTCTTTGTGGCAGTTTTGATCCTCATTTGTCCCGGTATCTTCATTTTTATAGAAAATGTAACTACACAGAAACATTGTCTTAGATATTAATGGCTTTAATAATTTGTACTTTTGAGATGTAACATTCTGCAATGAGAAATGATTGTGTAATCAAATAGATACTGAAAACTGAAAGTGTTTAGAAATCTTGTCTTCTTAATGATTACTGCTGCAGTATTTCAAGAGGAATCATACCACATTTTAGAAAACAATGGTAGGTTTTATAATTCCTCAAATGTTCATGTTCCATCAATACCACATTCCTTTACTATGTTCACTGTTAAGTGTTGGATGTAAATTTTTACATAGCTGTATTATATCATTTTTGTGTAATTCTTCAAATTATCTGTGTCATCTAGAACTGTGCTTCTGAAACCTTAATATGTATGTAAGCCACATGGGCTCCTGTTAAAATGTAGTTCATTGTTTCAGGGCCTGAGATTCTGCATTTCTAACTTCATACGGTGCCAATCTTGTTCATCTGTGGACCACACAGAAAGGCCATAATATTCTTAAAATAAAAATTAGTGTTTTATCTTTGAACTTGTAGCTTTTAAAAATAAAATATATTAAGCTGCTGAATTTTTAAATTTCATGAACATAGAAAAACACCAAACTACATACAAGTTTTTAAACCAAAGTATAGTTGATTTACAAGGTAGTGTTAGTTTCAGGCATACAGCACAGTGATTCATATATATATATATATATANTTTTTACCTATACCCTTTCCAGCATTTATTATTTGTAGACATTTTGATGATGACCATCTGATCAGAGTGAGGTGACATGTTATTATAGTTTCAATTTACATTTGTCATAATTAGTGGTGTTGAGGATTTTTCCCATGCCTTTGGCTGTCTGTATGTCTTTGGAGAAATGTCTATTTAGATATTTTGCCCATTTTTGTATTGAGGTTTTTTTTTTTTAATATTGAGTTGTGTGAGCTGTTTGTATATTTTTGAAATTAATCCCTTGAAGGTCACATCATTTGCAAATATTTCCTCCCATTCTGTAGGTTGTCTTTTCATTTTGTTTATCATTTCCTTTGCTGTGCAAAAGCTTTTGTCACAGACCCAAATGAAAGATTGGATATGATAAAACTAGAGGAAAACATAGGCAGAACACTCTTTGACTTAAACTGCAACGTCTTGTTAGATCCATCTCCTAGAGTAATGGAAATAAAAACAAAAATAAACAAATGGGACCTAATTAAGCTGCTATGTTTTAACCAAGTTAATTTCTATACTGATAAAACTCCCGTATTAAAACTAAACAATTTCTATAATATAATTATCTAAGTATTTTTCAATCCTCAATTTATATCTATCTGATACTACTTTTTGGATTATTAATGATAAATGTATACAGATTACATAGTAATTCATGCCATAATGGAGATACTTAAGAATTTTAAATGGGGACTTAACAGTCAACAAATGGCAGATAATATATATTGAAATACAAAATGTCAAATTAGCCACTACATTTATGCAAAAAATGTTTCTTTTATGTTTGTTTTATTTTAAGATACCAATCTGAATATCAGTGGGAAAAGGAGCAGAAGCTCTTCATCAAAGTGTTGTTATATCAGAAAGTTATTTCAGTTACTGAGTATGTTCCTCCAGAAAAAAATAGAAATATCAATCCTATTAGAAAAAGATATTTTATTTTCATGTGTCATAAAATTATCCTAATATGCTGAATTTGTTAGAATAATACACTCTACTGCCATCTACTGTAAGATTGTCAAACTTACAGATTAGTCTATATGTGGAGATACATAAATTTACAAACTTACATGATATACAAATAGCTTATATGTGGAGACAACAAAAGTCATAAGACAAGTGTAAATATTTTCTATCTCATAGAGTCATGTACCAGGTATCCAGGGCACCCTTAGGCATGGCTCCTTGTGTGGTATTCAACCTAAACAGACATCCCTGGGAGCTGGCCTCCACTCCTCTGACCTGAGAAGCTTCTGAAGGCTGGTCCTTAAATGGCCCTGGACCATCAGAAGAGGAACTGATGAGTCCTCATGACACAGGAAGGACCTTTGCAGACCCTGGCGCAGACAGTATACAGCGTTCATGTGAATGAAGGCTGGAGGCTCTGCGAGGTCTGACTTGACCACCACGTGACTTACCTAGTGTAGGGTGGCCTTGCTCAGGCAGAGAATGGACTGCCATTCCTGACTCAGTAAGCTTTCAGAAATTCAGTCATATAGTGACTTATCCTCATTCTGTCAGGAGACATGTAAGCAGCTATCACAGAGAATAACTGCATGTTTTTCTTCCTTAAATTTACACCACAGATGTTGGAATGCAAATAACAACAATGCCATACTTCTCTCTGCTCTCTGGTTCCTCTTGCCGATGACTGCTTTGCTTGGATAAGAGCCTGGACATGGAGGTGGGCACCCTCCTGCTATTTTAATATTTCACAATATTATTCAATATAGATTCGTAAACTATAATGAGAAGTATACCATTAACATAGTACACTGGGTCATTCCATTTAACAGAGAACACTTTAAGCTAAATTACTTTTATGATAACTGTCCTAAATATAGTAACTGCTAGAAACATTTTTGATAAATACTAAATAGAGACATCTGTCATCTTATATTTCTGTCCTTTGGATGTATTTTAGAAAGTGATCACATAAATCTGACAGAAAAAAAAATGTTTAAAAGTTGTATTCAAAGGATACATATTGCATATTTGGCAACATGGTGGGCTAAACTTATACAAATAAAATTTTTCTCATTAGCAACTCATAGGTAGACTGGACACATAATAAGTAGAAATTTCAAGTGCATGATAAAGTTAATAAATGAAAACATCAGAAATCTCTGGCTATCAGAGAAAAGAGTAATAAAACTAGAGCCCAGACTTAGCTGGTTCATGGATGTTTCCAACCGGGTGCAGGCCCTGAATGTTGAGGACAGTGACCATATAGGAGTGAATACGCGACCACAAGCTGTAAGAAGTGAATGATTTCATCCATAATCATTCTGTTTACTACAGCTCCCCCATATATGTTTCTTCTGGCCTCTCAGAACCTCCCCATCTCTTACCTTTTCCCTTGCAGGACTATTCAGTACTAGAGCCATTAGTGGTCTATATGTGGTGAGAGTGAGAGGCGAAGGCCCAATGGGGAGAACCAACGTCCAAATGAGATGAAGGGGGAATCTGCATGGGGTAGGAAATTGGTCCAGAGTGAGGTTCAGGGCCCAGGTGGAGTGAGGAGAGTCCCTATATAGTAGTGCAGAGCAGCTCAGGAGATTGAAACCAGAGTTGGGTAAGGAGCGCATCCAAGCAGGATGTCAGAGCCAGTGGGATGAGATGGGCCTGTGCATGGGACACAGGTCACATACAAGGGTGTAATGAAGTGAGTACAAATAACCACATTTCTTACTGTCAGAAAAAAAGGAATCACAAATATAAAAAAGGACAAAATTGTATTTAACTCTGTGCTGTTGGTATGGAATCAGATATCAGTGAGCTACTGGTTTTCAAACATAAACATAGAGATAGAATATGTCTTTTTATGTGATATTATTTACACATATCCTTAGCTCTCTCCCCTAAGAAGGCCTGAAACTGGTTTGAAAATAAAAGCAAAGCAGTGAGCATAGGTAGCTTCAGATCTTGGTTTTGAACATCTTTATCCACTTATGGGAAGAATCTGGGCTCCTAAAGAAATGTCTATTTCCAGGGCTGGGACAGGAAAATATAGATGTGTCTGAAACATTCTGTTGTCCTGGGAAAGAAAGAAGTGTTCAAGGAATAGAGGGGTCATATCAAGAAGAGAACAGGAGTCAGCTTCAAGGAGCTCCCAGTGCCAAATTTTGGATAATATAGCACCAAATAAATATGACACTAATAGATTGTAGCCTATTGAATAAAATAGGAAACCATAGTCCATTCTGATGAATGAATAAATTGAAAGCTTTAGTAAAGTATCCAGCTTCAAAAATTGTTCCCCCTAGTACTTATTAATTACAAAGTTTAAGAGAGTAACTTGAAAATGGGAATCCAAATATCATCTTAAGGGATGAAAGGAAACATTAGAATACCAAGATAAATTGAAGTCTGTGCACCACCTTATAGGAAGCAATGATGAGAACCCAGCATCACTTTTGTGATACTTTGCCAAAGATGTATAAACTGAATCAAATCATGAGGGAATGTCAGACAAAACCAAAATGAGTGACATTCTGCAAGATAATGCTTCTATAATCTCCGTAAGTGTTAAGGTCACAAAAGCCAAGGAAAGGCTAAGAAAGTGGTCTAGACAGAAGAAGGCAAGATAGCTAAATGCAACACATGAAACTTAATTGGAGTCTGAACTTTATATTATAATAAGTATCAGTGTTAATGTCTTAATACTGATGGTAGTGTTGTGGTTATACTGGAGAATGTATTTGTTTGCAGAAAACATACACTAAAGTATTTGGAGTTCCAAGCTGGTAAATGATTCTCAAATGATTCAGGGGCAACATTATTTTTTTTAATTGCATTTGAAACTTTTGTGTAAGTTTGAGATTGTTTCAAAATTTTTAAATGACATTTAAAAAAAAATGTCAGTGTTGCATCTGTATAAATAGTGACACATGCAAAGCTATTTGTTTAGCCTAAAATGGTGAGATATGAAGAATAATAGAAGATAATTTAGAGCACATTTCTGCTAGGTGTGATTCTAATTACTTTTTACATATGTCAACTAATTAAATTTCACAGCACTGGGAACATTATAAAAAGCAGACCTGAGGCACATAAAGGTTACATAATTTGCCCAAAAGTACACCAAAAGTAAGTGGCAAATCTGGTGTTATGTTTATATAAAATATTTATGTCCTCTGTAACCATATAGAAATATAATTGGTCAAGATAATTTTTCTCTGGGGTTTGCTTTAATACTGTCTTCATTTAAATAAAACTCTGTTGATCCCTATAAACTGCATCAAGCTTCATATGTGCGATATTTGTCCAGAATCAAGATGTGAGTGTCAGAATCCAATTAGAGTGACAGAAAAGTCCCTACTCAAAGTCAGCCAGTTCACATAGCAGGAGCAGTCATTGAAGAGCTCATTTCAGCACAGCTAAGTCAGTAGAGCCCCCTTTCCCCTTTTTGCCTTCCATATGTATGTGTTATGATCACAACTGGCAGCAGTGGTAGAGTTTAGGCAGAAGATAAAACCTAAGAGGTGGTCTGTCAAGACAGTGGGTATTTTTTATGGGGAGAGACTCACAACTGGTATCGGCAACAGCATTAATTTAAAAAAAAAAATAGCTAAGCCCTCCAATAACACACTGAAGGAAAAAGAAAAAAGTCAGATTCACTCAGATGTGGAATATTCTAAAGTCACTCACATCTGGAATAAAGTCTCATTTACTTGTGCAGTTGAGGATACCTGCCTGCTACAGACACATTCTCAGGAAACAGTGCCTGTCAGTACAGAGCAAGCAACTTACCCTCTTCTACCCGCCTAACCCCCCTGCCCCTGCAAATTAATGACACTGAAGAAGAAAACTTGCTTAAATGCAAAGGAAACTTATACTGAGCTTTCATTCATAAACACTCTGGAAAACATTATCAACATTAAAAAATCCTAGCAAGAAAAAGGAAGATCAGGATGAACATGTTGATTACTATTTGCAGATTGCCATTTGAAAAGTGGACAGTGGATATGCATGGCCAATGAAAGAAGAGAAAAACTAAATTGCTAATAAACATGTAAAAAGATGTTCGAAAGGGGGAACAAAAAGCTCATCCTTGGTATGCATGTGGTTCTGCATAATATGCAGGCATCCCCTAGAAGTGCATAGCTATAGCATTATAACCCCACCCCTGGTTTGCTCTGACCAACATCAATGAAAGGAAGGATGAAGGAAAGTCCTTTTAGGAGGCCCACTTCAAGCTGTGTACCTAGGAGTTCATTTTTCCTTGAAAAGGGAATAGCCAGGTATGGAGGTCTATGTCAATACATGAGCTGTAACTAGCAGTGTAAATAAATAGAGATAGGATAAAAACTTTCGGAAAAATCTCTCTGTATAGGCACGTCGTGTGAACATATTGTATCCCTTGTGAGTGCTCACCAAATTATGACCTCCTTAGAGGAAGATTTTAACAATCAGATGGAAGATTACCCAGTCTGAGGATATCAGTCAGCCTCTATTTCCAACCACTTAACTGTTCAGTGGCCTCATGAAGAAAGTGGCCATGGCAGCAGGTAGAGATGATACATGGGTGAAGCAATGTGATTTCTCCTAAGATTCGTCTGGCTACAGCCAACTGCTGAGTATTTAAGCTTCCAAAAGCAGACCAACCGTGAAATCCTGATGTGATTCTATTCTGGAAAAAAAAAAAAAAATCAGCTATTTGGTAACAGTTTGATTAAATCAGATTGCTTCCATCGTGAAAGGAGCAATGCTTGGTTCTTACTGAAACTATGACAACACATTTACCTCATCCACCATCATAGACATTTTCATGGCCTCATTTCTTTTTTTTTTTTTTTCATTTTATTAGTTGAAGGCTAATTGCTTTACAATATTGTAGTGGTTTTTGCCATACATTGACATGAATCAGCCATGGATTTACATGTGTTCCCCATCCTGAACCCCCCTCCCGCTTCCTTCCCCATCCCATCCCGCTGGGTCATCCCAGTGTACCAGCCCTGAGCACTTGTCTCATGCATCCAACCTGGGCTGGTGATCTGTTTCACACTTGATAATATACATGTTTCGATGCTATTCTTCCAGATCATCCCACCCTCGCCTTCTCCCATAGAGTCCAAAAGTCTGTTCTATACATCTGTGTCTCTTTTTCTGTCTTGCATATAGGG